GGATCGGGTTACCGATGGCGGAATGGACGCGAAGGAAACGCGGCCGGACACCGAGGACGTGCAGACTCTGAGCAACGACACGCTGGTCCTTCAGGGGGGCGTTCTATTGTCGAAACGGGAGGTAAAACGGGAGACGAAGAGCACGAGGGACACGAGTGGCGGCTCCTCGGACACGGCCATTCTTCGCGAGAACCAGCGTGCCGCGGCCACCGTTGCAACTTTGAGCGCAGCCATGCCACGACCTTGGTACAAACGGAGCGTGTTCGAACATTCTCGGGATTCCGGCGCGTCGAGGAGGGGCGATGTCCTCCGAGCTCCGACAAGCTCGACGATCGAAATAAAAGAAGAATGCGGTGCCGCGAACGCGACTACGACCATCACCGCCACCACCACCGCCATCACCACCGCCGCCACTTCCACCGGTTATTCCGTGGACGCGTCTTTGTCCAGGTTGAGCTTCTTTCATCGCGGTGGAAGCCAGGCCGAGGACAGAAAAAGGGAGGCGAAACGAAGATCGGGCCTCTCGATTCTCACCAATATCAGCGAGCTGGACAAAGAAGCGGCCGCGATCGTTCAGGAGGAACAGGCGCGCGCCAGGGCCTCGATGCTGTTCAATTCGTCGAGATTCGTGGACGCGTTCGAGAGGAGGAGCGACGCGAACGAGGAACTCGTTCAAGACATCGTCACGTCCGCGATGGAGAGTTCGTCGCCCAGGCGTGGCACGCGGGCTCTCATCTCCAAGTTCAACGCCATCAGCAATATCACCAAGGTCACGGTGAATTCCAATTTCTTCGCGAGGAACGCGAGGGACCAACAACCGGGGAAATTCGAGCGGGACGCGGCGAGGAACGCCAAGGTCTTCGAGCATGGCAACGATCGCCATTGGAACAAGGATCATCCGAGATTTAACGTTCAGTCCGCCAGCGGGCAAGCTGGCCGCGTCGAGAAAGATATCTCTAGATATTTTCCACCGCAGCAAAAGGCGGGCAAAAGCAGCAGGGTGGAGGACGCGGAAATGGGTGGTAAGATTTCGGGAACGAAGAGCGGGCCGAGCAAGGAGCAGAACGATAAATTGGCCAGTGAAACTTCCAACAGAATATCGTTCCTGCAGAGTCAATTGGCCGCGAATCGTACGAGCGATCAAATCCTTCGAAAGGATAGCTGTGCGACGACGGAGGAAAAAATTAGATCGAAACAGGAAGAGAAGAGAGAGAAGGAGACGAGAACGAGTAACGAGGATCTACGAAGATACTTGTTCCCTCGTAATTCCGCGGAGACGAGGGAACGCGTTGCGTCGAGGAGCGTGTTTGAGGAGCCACGAAAGTTGACACACGAGCAACAACGCGTGGACGGTGTGCAGAAAGAATTTTCCGATATATTCGACGAGATCGACAAACAGCTACGTACGAAAGAATTCAAATTTATCGATCGGAGGTCGTTGCTCGAGAGCGCGACACCCACTAATCAGAGAAATAAAGTTGGCGAGGAGGAAGCCGGAATATCAAGTAAGGTAACCAAAGTGCTCGATATCCTGGTGGAGGCGGAGAAAGACGCCAAGACAAAGAGCGGCGCGCCGCCAGAAAAATCGATAATCCTCGAGGATACCTCTCGTCCGACCGAGCCGAACGTGAAAACGAAATCGGGCAATAGCGGCAGGTCGCCGTTATTGAACACCATCGAGGATCCAATTACGACGGATTTAAAGGAGATGTTGAAGGAAATGAAACACTCGTTACCGAAGCGTTCGAAACCCGGCAAAATTGTGACACGTAACACCGACGTGACGGAGAGACCAGTGGTGACGGAGAAAGAAACGGTTAACGTTTCGGATCCTGGCAAGACCAGGTATTTCGTTTCCGCGGTAACGAAAGTCGAGAATATAACGGTGCCAAACGATTACGAGCTGGACAAACAAAAGGTGTCGTGCTCGGTACAAACTAGCGGAAATATACGAAGATTGAATCAACCGTCTGTGGAACAACCGTCCACCTCGGGTTGGAAGCAGGAAAACGTGCTCTACAAAACGTCCGGGAAAAGCTTGGGCAATTCCGGATTGAAGAATACATTTCAGTTGATACGGCCCCGAGATTTTGCTGAAATCGAAGCGACAAAAACGACGAGGGCCGCGCTCAACGAGAACACTTACGCCAATGTGATCGAGCAATCCATCTACGCGAATGCACACGTCCCCCCTCCCTCTCCCAAACCACGTTCTAATTCCTCGCGACCAGCCAACGTTACGAAAATTGATAATACCGCATCGAAAGCATCACCCACGATTCAACGAAAATTCCCCACGCAGGAAGATACGTTCGAGGGTAGCGGCGAGGAAGGTAATTTTAATTAAATCAGATTTAGATTTCTTTTTCTTCTTCGAATGAATCACTTGTCTAAATTTAGATAGATTGTTCGCTCAAGCGTTTTTCCCTCTTACCGCGTTAACGCGAGTACTCTCTCTCTTTGCGACAGATGACAATTCAACGGAGAAAAATATGAACACGCTGGCCATAAACCGATTACTCAGAAAGTTAGAAGCGGCAATCGCGTCTGGCCATCATCAACAAGCGGCAGGTTTGGCGAAGGAGCTGGCACGGCTTAAAATTCATTGTTCCGTGATTCGACAACGATCAGCTCGTCTCAAAGATCAGTTGATTAAAGTCAATATGTACATAGAAGACAAGCTTGCCCACCAGGGACCGATACCCCTTCAGGTAAATAGCGTTGCCCACTCGAATCAAGGTAGCTTAAGTTTGCCAATCCGTGTGATGATATTAGATGCCGTACTAAGCCAAAATAAAATAACAGCTGCCGAGCAGGATGACGGTGGCCGAATTGAAAGCGAAAATATATACGGAATTCGAAATACCGATCAATGTGCAACGATGGATCATAGGTAAAAATTTAGCAGATCGCGATGAAGCGACTCTGAACGAATTGCAGGCTGTTAATGGATCTCCGGTA